TTGCCACCCTGTTGCTCCCCATCATCCCCCACGTCCCTTAATTGCCATCCATTGCCCTTCACTGACACCCCATTGCCCTCATTTTTCTCCCACATCCCCCCATTGCTACCCATTGCCACCCATTGCCCCTCATTGCCCTACATTGCCCCCCATTGTCTCCCACATCCCCCCATTGTCACCCATTGCCCCTCATTGCCACCCCGTTGCTGCCCATCATTCCCTACATCCTCCCAGCACCATCCATTGCTACCCATTGCCCCCCATTCTCCCCCACGTCCTCCCATTGTCCACCCCACTGCCCCCACCAGGATCCCCACCTGTGATTCTGGAGGCTCCAGGACCGTTGGCTGATGGTCTGAAGATGGGACAGCAACATGGTCCCAGCATTGGGCTGTGGTGATGGGGAGGTGGAGGATGGGGGGGAATTGAGGTTGGGGGGAACTGAGGATGGTGGAGAGGGATGGAGCAGCCCCAAAGGGGTGCACAGGACAGAGGAGGTCAGCAGGGGCAGGAGAACACCCCACCCCTGCCCCACTCCTTACCTGCCCGTGCAGGGAGGTGGAAACGGGCACTGAGGCAGAGGCTGAGCAGCAGCAGCAATATCCCAGCCACGGCCATTCCCACAACGCTGGGCAATGGGCAGCCACCTGGGGACCAGTCCTTGTCCCATCACTGCCACACAGACCCCACTGTCCCCCAAGATCCCTCCGTGGACCCCCAACAACCTCGATCAACACTCTATCCCATTGCCTCCCCTCTTGCCCCCACCACAGCCACCATGACCCCATTGACCCCCACATCACTCTCCTGTGATCCTCACCCCAGCACTGCATCATCTGCTCTGCCTCAGTTTCCCCCCATGCACCCCAGCTGGAAGGAACCACAAAGGGGGGCCACCCCACCCTCCTTTCCCTTCATCCTCCCTGCCCTGTGCTTACCTACAGCTTCATGCAGCTCTGTGCTCCTCTGGATGTGGGGCCCGGAAGCATTGAAGCGAACCTCACACAGCCCCCCAGCTCCCCCAGGGCTGAGCAGCAGCTCTGTGCTGTTCCCCAGCCCCAGCACCTCCTGGGGACGGTTCCCCCCCGGCCAGGAGATGAGGACGGGGCCACCAGAGGCACCCACAGCACAGATTGGGCTGAGGGGGGGCTGGGGGGACCAGCGGGTGGCCAGAACCTGCACCCAGCTGTGGGTCCTCCAGCTGTCTGCAGAAAGGGAGCACAATAGGGACCCCCACATAGTGGCAGGGGGTGTGGGGGAGTCTGTTTTGGGGAGGGACGTGGGGGTCACAAGCACTGGGGGAGGCATGAGGGTCCATTTCAATGGGGAGGAGTTGGACAACAAGCAATGGGGGATCTTTGGGGGTGTACTAAGTAGAGGTCCATGGGGGTTTCATCCAGTGGGGTGACATAGGGGTTGTCCCATCCAGTGAGGGCAGCATGGAAAGTCCCAACCAATGGAGGGACGTGGGGGTCCCAAGCCATTGGAGGGCATGGGGATGCTCTCCGGTGGGGAGGAAGCGGGGGGGCTGTGTGAGATGGGGCAGACTGAGGGGTCCCATTCAGTGGGTATGATGGGGTTCCCATCCAATGGAGTCTCGGGGTCCCCCCACGCCTTCCTACCTCCCACCAGCAGCACGGTGCCATTGCCAAACTTCAGCTTGGAGACGACGGAGTTTGCACAGAGGTACCGAGCGGCGTCCTTGGGCTGAGCAGGCTGGATGTGCAGCACAGCACAATACTGCTGATACTCACAGGAGAACACATCCAACTTTTTCTCTATGCAGTTCAGAAGCAGTCGGGGCGACTCTCCGGGTCTCTGTTGGAACCACAGCACTTTGCCTGCTCCATCCATCCTCTCATCTGCCATACATCTGATGCTCACCGCAGCGCCAGCTTCCACAAAGAGGACGGGATCCGGCTGCCACAGCTCCAGCAGCACTGCAGGAACTGAGCTGGGGTCACAACCAGCCCCATCCCCCAGCACCCCGTTAGCACGAAGCCCCCCCAGCCCCAACACGCACCCATGCACAGCGACAGCAGCCCCACGACCATCAGCACTGTATTGCAGGAGGAACCCCCCGGTGCCATCGGTGCGGCACAGCCCTTCTGCAGGGCGCTGCTCAAAGCGTTGGCCCTGGCAGCAACGCCTCCTGGCCACGTGGACACCACGTCCCCATCAGAGTCACTTTTTCCCTATAAGGGCCACAGTGTCCCCAGGAGGACATGCTGGTGTCCCCACATGGCTTGGACGTCCCTGTAAGGGATGGAGGGTCTCTATAAGGAATACGGTGTCCCACAAAGGAATCAACGTCCCCACAAGTGTCACAGTGGCCTCATGAGGGTTTCAGTGTCCCCATGAGAGTCTCAGCATCCCCATGACTGTCTTAATGTGCCCATAGGATCTTATTGTCCCCATGAGGATCAGGGCTCCCCATGAGGGTCTCAATGTGCCCATGAGGGTCTCGGTGTCCCCATGAGGGTCTCAGCATCCCCATGAGGGTCTCAGTGTCCCCATGAGGGTCTCAATGTCCTCATAAGGGTCTCAGGGTCCCCATAAGGGTCTCAGGGTGCCCATGAGGGTCTCAGTGTCCCCATGTGGGTCTCAATGTCCCCACAAGGGTCTCAGTGTCCCCATGAGGGTCTCAGCATCCCCATGTGGGTCTCAGAGTCCCCATGTGGGTCTCTATGTCCCCATAAGGGTCTCAGGGTGCCCATGAGGGTCTCAGCATCCCCATGTGGGTTTCAATGTCCCCATAAGGGTCTCAGTGTCCCCATGAGGGTCTCAGCATCCCCATGTGGGTCTCAATGTGCCCATGAGGTCTGTGGTGTCCCCATGAGTGTTGTGGTCTCTCCAGGAGGATGATGGTGATCCCACATGGAAGTGGTGTCCCCAGGAGTGCTGCAGTGTCCCTGTGAGGACAGCGGTGTCCCCATGAGGATCATAGCCTCCTCTGGGTTTGCAGGATTGCACCCCAGCTCCCAACCCACTTGCTGGCTGGGTGGGACTCACATTTGGGGCTGAAAACACAAATATTTGGGTTTTTAAGCACTCCTGCAATGCTCAGGGCTGGAGGTGGCCCCTCCAGGACCCTCTGCCTCCTCTATGGGGTGAAGGGGGAAGGCAGTCCCAGCGCTCAGCACTGCAAACCACAGCGCGCTGCGGTGCCAAAGACCTTCTGGGGACGGACATCCCCTCCCCATTGCCATCCTCGCCTCGGGCTCTCACCAAAGTGGCCTTCAAAGGACAAAGGACCGAAGGCACTTTTGCTCCCCCAGCGGTGCCCGCCCCGCTCTGCTGTTGTGGTCGAGCAAAGACGGCGAAACGCTGCGAACCCGACGGCCTGAGGGCAGCAAGAAGGGCGGGGGATGGCAGCGACGGGGGCTGTGTGCAAACAAACAACAGCAAGGTGACAAAACAACAGAGGGGTGGGTGATGAAATGAGCGAGGCGAGAGCAACCGCAGCGCTGCTCCGGCTGCAGGAACCACACGGAGCCCATATGAGCCGCCCTCAGCCTCCCCCCCCCCCCGTGGCCCCCAGCAGCCCGTGTCCCTCTGCATCCCCCATCCCCTGATGTCCTGCACTACCCATGGGCAGCATCTCGGCGTTGGAGCTGCGCTCTGCGTGTCCCCATCCATCCCTGTGCTGCGCTCAGGATGGGCGCAGGGAGTTCGATCCCAAATCCTCAATCAGCCTTGGGGCTGCGCTGGGAGGGGGAGCAGTGCAGGGTTGAAGCCCTGGAGGAGGAGAACTGGGGGGGTCTGGACAGAATGCAGGGAAACAAAGTCCCCCATGCATCACCAAGCTGTGGTTCAGTTCCATTTTGCCCACGAAGCGGAGCACGCGGCGCCACCAAGCACATGGGGTGGGGGTGATGGAGTCAGGGCTGCATTACTGTTCTCATTTCCCAACCTCTGACCCCTTCCCACAGTTCCCCCCTCCCCTCTTTGTGCCCCTAAATGCCACCGGGGCGCGTCGTCCCATCACCGCTGTCATCTCAGCCATAACCTCAGCTGCAGGATGCGGCACAGGAAGGCTCCTCCTCGTCCCCAGCACCCCGTCCCACCCCAAATCCCCCCCCTTGGAGCATTCTGCAAGAGCTGAGAGCAACCTGAAGCTGTGCAGCTTTGCTCAGAGCCATCCAAGCATGCCCTACAGCTTGGCTGCTGCCGTTCTGCTGATGCTGCTACCTGGTATGTGCTGCCCCAGCCCCATTTTCCCCTCCCTGTAGCTTTTGGCATTGGTTAAGTGGTCTGAGCAGAGGGAGGGGGGGCTCACATTGATGCAATTTGCTGTAGGATTTGGTTTCTCCACAATATTTTCTTTTACCCTTCAATTCTCCGTGCAATCTCTCACAGTTTGAATGCGATGGCAAAATCCATTCTGATGATCCCATCCAAACCCCACTGCGTACAGCTACCTTCCCTCCCCATATCCCATCTTCTGTGCCCCCCCACATGGGGATGACACCCCTCACCCAGTGCAGGGCAGCTCTGTGTAGCACCCACAGGTCTCTCTGAGCCCCCAAATTCCCTTTTCCCATAGGATCTATGCTCTGGGCAGCAGCCAGCATCCATCAAAAAGCTCCGAGCTGCCAAATCCCAATAAAATCCCAAACGGCCCCGATTTGGGGCTGCCTGACACTCACACCCTCTCAACCCACAGGAGCTGCTCTGGCACAGCTGCGGATCCGGCAGAGCCCAGCACAGCTTTGGGTCCACCCTGGGCACACAGCAGAGCTGAACTGCAGCATTGATAGTGATTGGAAAGAGGATTGGCTCCGGGCTGTGAATTGGTACCGGGATCAGCCAGGCAGCAGCTTACAATTCATCTACCAGAGCTCAAATTTCTCACGTTCAGATGGAAAATACTCCGGGATGAGGAGAGCAGAGAGGTTATTTTCCCTTCACATCAGCTCTGTGCAAAAGGAGGACTCCGGCTTTTATTACTGCGCTTCCACCATTTCTCCCTATGAGTTTGGGGACAGCACCAGGTTGGTGGTCACAGGTGAGCGTTGGGACATCGTGGGGACAAAGCAGGTGAGGGATGAGGACACAGCTTTGTGCTGCAAGGCTCTGGGCACTGCCACCACCCCACCTTTATCCCCACTGCCTGCAGATGCCATAGAGCCCACTCTCTCCATCCTGCTGCCCGTGGATGCGGATCTGCGTGAGCCACCCTTGGCTGCCATCCCTCTGCTCTGCCACCTCTACGATGTCCCCGAGGGATGGGACATCGTTGGCTGGCACCACAGCAATGCCAACTTGGTGACGACCACCTCCATGGATGAACGTGGCATCCTCAGTGCCTGGAGCCTCACCTGGCTCACAGCTGAGCAGTGGGACGGCAGCGTGGGATGCACAGCCATGCAGAAAAGCACAGGCAGAAGCATCAGTGTGACCACCAGCCAACCCAGCAGCACAGGTCAGCTCCCATTGCTCTGCTCCATCCCCTGCGTGCACAGATAGAACTTTGGGTATCAATGGGTGCAGCTTTGCTCTGTGCTCGCCGGGTCCGGGGATGCGTGGCTGCAAACAGATCCGAGTTCCCAATGTTCCCATTGCTTCAGCACTGCATTCCGTAGCAAAATCCATCCAGTGAAGGATGTGGGGATGGCACTGAGCCCATTGTACCCCTTCCAACAGATCCCAGCCCCTATCAGCCCATCCCACCCCAATCCTGCCAGCTGTTCCCCATCGTGTGCGCCCTCCAGAAACCCCTTTTCCCCCATCTCCTCACATCCCCATGTGCTGAAATCCCTCAATGCTGTGCCTTTGGCTGCATGACCCCACTCTCTCACCACTCTCCTCTCCTCCCATCCCTCCATTACACTCAACACAACCCCTATGTGACCACTACAAAACTTATCCCCATGTTCCCCCCCTCCTCACAGCGCAGTGCCTGCAGTGGCTGCCGGCGGTTCTGCTGCCCTCAATCCTCACCATCACCATCCAGCTGATGCTGCAGCTCTGCAAAAAGCCCCACATTGGGGGTCCTGGAGCCCCACAGCCCCCCAAGCAGCGCAGACCCCCTCTGCCATCCCATAGAGCTGCAGGACAGAGACAGGAGGTGAGCTGCCCCCCCCTCCCCCAACCCAGGCTGAATGATTTACGGCTCATTTTTCCCCTCTTTTTGTCTTTATTTTTCTCCTTTATTTCTCTTTCGTGCCCTTTTCCTGTTTTTCTCTTTTTACTTTTTTCCCCCCTTCTCTTTTGCCTTTTTTCCCCTCTCTTTTTTTTGCTGTTTTCCCCTTTTTTGCCCTTTTTTCTCTTTTTGCTCTTTTTTCTCTATTGGCATTTTTTGCTCTTTTTCTTTTTCTCCTTCCCCTCTCCCCCCCTTTTTTTTTCTTTTTTCCTCCTCTTTTTTTTTTCTCTTTTTGCTTTTTTCTTTTTCATCTTTTCATCCTTTTTTGCTCTTCTTCCTCTTTTTTCCCCCCTCTTTTTTTTCCCCTCTTTTTGCTTTTTTGCTCTTTTTGCTCTTTTTGCTTTTTCCTTTCTCATCTTTTTGTCCTTTTTTCCTCTTTTTTTCCCCTCTTTCTCCTCTTTTTCCTCTTTTACTCACCTTTCCCCCTTTGCTCTTTTTGCTTTTCTCTTTTTTCCCTTTTTTCTCTTTTTTTTTTGCCTTTTTTCCTCTTTTTTCCTTTTTTTCCTTTTTCCTTTTTTCCCCTCTTTTTTCTCTTTTTTGCTCTTTTTGCTTTTCCCTCCTTTCCCCCTTCTTTCTCTTTTTTTTTGCTCTTTTTTCCTTCCTTTTCCTTCCTTTTCCTTTCTTTTCTTTTTCTCTTTCCCCCCTTTTTTTCTCCTTGTTTCTTTTTTGCTCTTTTTGCTTTTCTCTTTTTCCTTTCTTTTTTCCCCCCTCTTTTTTCCCTCTCTTTTTTCTCCTCCTTTTTTTTCCCTCATCTTTTCCCCCCATTTTTCTCCTTTTTTTCCCCTCTTATTTCTCTTTTTTCCTTCCCCCCCCCCTCCTTGCTCCTTTTCTTTCCCTCCTTTTGCCCTTCCTGCTCTTTTCCCCCTTCCCAGCCCCACTCTGCCCCCTCTTACACCCCAGAAACCCCCCCAAGGTGCAGCTGTGTCACTCATGGGGTCACTCATTTCATCCCAAGCAAAGACCCAGAGGAGCCCCCAGGTGTATTTTAACACCTCCCCCCCCTGTGTTGCAGACCGAATACGCAGCGGTGGCACTGAGATCCCCTTCCCTACGTGTGCAATGAGAAAAAAAAGCAAGAAAAGGGAGATAACAGAGAAGGCTCAGGGCGATGGGAGCCCGACAGGCAGCAGCTCTGGGGGTCTGCAGCTCTATGGGAACCCTGCAAAAAAAATTAAAAAAAAAAAAAAAAGAGGATTTGGGGGAAATCTCCACCGAGGGGAACTCAGGGCTGAGTTCCCCACTGTTGTTTCCTCACCGTTTGGGGAGAAATTTCAGCAGAAAAAACGTGTTCCTCTTCTGGCACAACCAAAACGAACGATGGGGGGTGACAGCACTGCCACCACGCAGACCTCTGGAAAAGCCCATTTCAGGCTTTTCTCAGCCCAAAGTGAAAGTGCTTTGGAAAAGAACTGCCCTCCCCACACAATGCCATTGCCCAGCACACCCTGAGCAGCCCCAGACCCCCTTCAGCCCCATAAGATCCCTATGGGGGTCTGCTATGGGTGGCAATGTGCTGCTTTCCCAGTCCAACCTTCAGCCCATCCCCACCACCAACTCGTGCTACCCCATATGACAGCTATTAAATAGAAATGCTATTAAACAAGGAAAAGTCCTTTTAAACCTCAGGAATGAAGCAAAGCTTCATCTCTCTCTGCCTTTTGCTCACTGTGGGGCCATGGCACCCAATGGGGGGATGCTCACAGTGCTCCCCATCCTCACGTCCCCTATTTCTCCTTTGCCCCACACATTCAGCTCTGTGCTGAGCGCGTCCCCTTTCCTCCCTGCTTTCCCATTCCTGAATAGGAAGCTGCTCCCAAACACTGGGGCCGAATAGTGGAGATGTGGGAAAGCCCTGAGTGCTTCCGTGAGACCCTGAGCATCTGCTCCTGAGGGAGAAGAAGGGAAACAAATGCATTCCAGCTTGCAAACCACCCGGGAGTGAGCAGGGCTGTGTTTAATTAAGAGAACAGACAGAGCTTGCAAAGCAAATGGCTCCAATCTGCGTTTTCAGATCAGAGCCCCAGTGGTGCAGGGTTGCTCTCAGTGCCCATCTGACCCTAAAAGCTGTCGCAGAGCAGCGTGGAGTGGAAACAGTGCAGCGGATGTGGGCACGGAGAGTGGGAACCTGCAGCGTGTTGGGTTTGGTGGTTGGTTGAATCACCATTTAAAATGGCTTTCTTTCACTCCCAACATCTGCACTCGCCTCGCTCAGCCCAGCCCAAAGCCAGCACTGTTTACAAAGCAGCAGGGAAGGGCAGGAAAGCTCTGTTTAGGAGAGAAATTCCTGCAGAAAGAACAGAAATCCCCGGGAAATGCAGTGGGAAGACTGCTCATCTCTGTGTCTGCTGCTCCCGGTCACACCGTGTCCCCATCCCCATCCCCGTCCCCATCCCCATCCTCACCTCCATTCCATCCCCATCCCATCTCCATCCCCATCCTCATCCCGAACCCCATCCCCATCCTCATGTCCCCATGTCCCCATCCCATCCCCATTTCCCCATCCCCATCCTCATCCTCATCCTCATCTTCATCCTCATCCTCATCCTCATCCTCATCCCCATCCCCATCCCCACCCCCATGTCCTCATCCCCATCTCCTTCCCTATGTCCCATCCCCATGTCCCCATCCCAATCCCATCCCATCCCATCCTCATATCCCCATCCCCATCC